CTGAAGTGCTACTCGAACCTGTCCCCACAATGGTTGTCCGCCTCATAACTCCTACTGCTTTCTGAATTTTCCACCTCCAGACTTAAAGGACACCGGCACTCTCAACTCTGTTGGCCACCTAAAACTTGATGTTGGGGAACCCTCGGCCCTCAAAGTTTCCATGTGCAAAATAAAGAAATGGATATAAATGACCTCTTGTATTCTTTATTTCTCCTTGGAAGGATAGACAGAGCCATGGTTAGAAATCCACTGTATAATATCCAGCCAGACAGCCTGGTTCAAATCCTTGTTCAACCATTTGCTACCTGAGTGACCTTACACAAATGACTTCATCTCTCTGTACCTCAGTTCCTCATCTGTTAAATGTGGCTAATATTAATAACACCTCGTAGGATGATTGAGAGGATCAAATGGGCTGACACCTATCAAGGTCTTCAGTCAATACCGGTTCACAATCAATATTCAATAAATATTAGGAATTATTATTGTTCCAATTCAGAGATTTCAAGGCTGCAGTCTCATTCAGGATATCAAAACTCACCCCCTACCCACTATAAAAAAATAAATAGTGCTAAAGAGAAGAGTCACACAATTTGAGGACAGCATTAGGGTTCAAAATTAAGAATTTCTCTTCTTCCTTTGTCCATTGAAATCACATTTTCACTGAGGGAAATTATTAACTTTTCGGAATGTTTGACTGCATTGGATTCTGCTCAAAGCGACAAGAATTTCAGTTCAGTTCCTATGATGTTTACTAGGTGCTGGGGGTTAAACATATACTCAACATGCAAAAATATATCGGAGAAGAATTTTCTGTTGCATTTACAACCTGACTCAGCATGAAATTCTTTAATCACATATTTTCCCCTCAAACTTTTACACTAGATTTTATTTTCTTCAGAAATTGAACACAAATGTCTGAGGGCCATCTGATTGTTTATCTTTTTAAGTAAATTTTCTTTCCTGCCCAAATGCTCATAGAATTATTTTCTCAAACTTTTATTTTTTTTAAGTTTTTGGGATGTTTATCTTTGTTTATTTTTCTTGGAAATCAGTGTAATCAGGTGACTAAGTTAAGAAATTTTTTGAAATTATATCTTTGGCTATTGATTTCATACCAATTAATCTGCTTCTTTTCTCAGAAACACCATAATTCTTGGGTTTACTTTCTGCTCTCTCTTTATATCTAACAATTTCTCTCCTACGTTCTAAGAGAGACACTCAAATATCCCTCTCATCACTAACTAAATTTTCCAGTGCATCGGTTTTGCTGCCTTATTTCCTCTAAAATCTATTTAAATCCTGCTGTTGCATTTTTAGTTCCCTAGAAGCCGTTTTTTTAAAAAAAAAATTTTTTTTAATGATTTTTGAGAGAGAAGGGAGAGGGAGAGGAAGAGAGAAACATCTATGTGAGAGTGAAACATTGATCAGCTGTCTCTTGCATGCTCCCTGCTGGGGAGAAGCCTGCAACCTGGGCATGCACTCTGACCAGGAATCAAATTGGCAACCCTTCAGTGCACAGGACGACACCCTACCAACTGGGCCACACCACCCAGGGCCCTAGCAGTCTTCTTACAATTCATTCAGTTCTCTCACACCTTATCACAGTTTATCTTCACGGATGTCCCTTCCAATTCCACAGATGTTCTTCCTTCTTTTTTTCCTTCTTAAATCCTATTAATCTTCTACTTCTTGCCATAAATCTTTCCCTGAAATCTCACTTTTTGTCTCTACCATGATGTATCCCTTCCTCATTTGACACTATTTTTTTATAACCCTGTAGTTTTTACCCATTTATTTAACCTTGGCTATGGATTGATGTGTTCAGAATCTATGTTTGTCAGCAAAGGGTATGTGGCAACAGCAGGTTTCTGTCTGCCCCACTGTTGTACATTTATTTGATTGCTTCTTAAATCCTTGTCACCCATCTGTAGCTAAGACATTGTTTGATGCATATCATGGATAACATTATTTGTAAGGGAAATGGTATATTAGAGAATATTTAAATTAAATATTAAGTATAGAGAATACATTGGCGAAAGGTATGCATTTGTGGGGTAAGTTTTGTGTTATTTTTATTGAGTAAAAGAAAAGAATAAGGCGCTGGATTGCAGAAAACAAGAATATAAGGTGACTAATGTGGATGAAGTTGGCATCCAACTGAGGAACAAAGGAATCATTCCACTGAGGCCACTGCACACCTTCCTTGCACAGTCACCCCAGCTACAGGGCCTCCGCCACAAGTTAATAACAGTGTAATAAAACAATATCATGCGTGCCAAAGAAGTAAACAGCATCAGGGATGAAGCAATAAGTGTTCTGGCTCGTCCCAGCTCCAGGAAAAACTGGGGAGGAGTCTGAAAGGGAGATATGCATGCATTAGATGATGTATGAAATCATCCGGAGAACTTGGGTTGAAATAAAACAGAACGTCCTGAGAACTGTGAGTTACGAAGTACTAGAGAACCTGCTGACTAGTCGGCATAAATGAGTAAGTTGTTTTGAAATGTGCATTGCCTCACTTGTCCTGCAACATTGCTGGATGGAGGGAATTTCGAACTAGACACCGAGGAGTTCACTCCCCGGTTGGTTTGCTAGCAGTTATGGCAGCCTACTGATCTGTATGCTTGCCTGCCTCTGCCTGCCTTACTGGTGTGAAAAGATCAGCAAGAAGAGTCGAGAGCTCCTCATTTTGAGCATGAGTCCCGCAGGCCCATAGGCCTCCGCCTAGTTAAGTTCTGCTGGACTGCAAGAATGCATTTCTCCACGGCTGGCCTGACTGACACTCCAAACAGAGAGTGGATGAAATACGCAACCCAAATATTGCCCCCAGGGTTCTTTCTGTCCTGGTCCTACAAAAAATACTTTACTCGTGATGACTAAACTGCTAAGAGTGGAAAGTGCCAATGCCTGTCCTCATTCTCCTCTACTTGGGGACTTCCATCCGGTCTTCACATGGCTACAGAAAGAAAACAAACTGATAAGACGGACAGAGGCTAGGAGGCAGGGGCACGTGCAGCGCAGGCGGGTGTCCAGAAGTCAGGCTGGCAGAGACCTCGTGCTCCTGACCTCGGGAAGGCAGCCGTGGCAGGAGCCCAGTGGCGGCATGACACAGGCAAGCCCCCAGCTGGACCTCTCCATCCAGCCCCCTGAACTTGCAGTCAGCAGAAATTTCTTCCACATTCTCATGATCCCTTGGCAATCTCTTAGGTGTTAGAATTGGTGTGAGTTTTCATTTCTTTTGTATGCCTCCCTGTGTAATCATGGTGTAAAGCTGGGAGACTTTGTGTGGTGCAAGATATATCTTTCCTATGTAAAGGAGATGAATTGTTAGTTTTAAAGATTATGTATTTCTATATTTTCGGATGAAAAAAAATTTAAGTTAGATTTATATCACTAAAAAGCCCGTTGGCAACACATCGTATGCATTTTAATGACAAAAGTGCTTTTATTCATTAAGAAGAAACATTTCAATCAGTCTAAGATCCATAAAGAACGTGCTTACTGATTTACAGAAAAATTTAAGAATCTCACTTTCTCTTTTTTGTAAATAGATACATTTTCCCCCTGGAATTATAATTTTGAGAAATCACAATACAAATGAGAAGATTTGTTCACCAAGGAAAATAATAAGAATGTAAACAATGCCATACGATGCCAAGTCTACGTTTAGGTCACGAACATCCAGCTCAGTGCCCAGCAGTGATGCAGGTCAGTCCACGCTGATAAACCCTCAAAGTCATCAGCCCCAAAAGGAGCCACAGGAGACACTAAGTAGTTGATTATATGAGATAAATTTGACCTGTGGGATGTGCATTATGGGTAAAGGACTTGCAAGAGCTGCCTCCAACGGCCTCACATTACCAAGAAAAATTTCAATACTATAAACGAGCTTTAATGATCTGCAACCTGTATGAAGAACATGGAACTTGTCTCTCACAGCACAAAAAACTCGCCAGTGTGGAAGAATATTGGGGGGGTGGGGAGGCAGCATGAGAGCAGCTGAAGTTAACCTACTTTCACCTGCAAAAACTGCTACAACCCCACTGAACCAACACGGTGGTGACTGGGTGGAAGATGGACATATGGCAGAGCGGGGAAGCGGGCCACACCAAGACCAGAGGTTCACCTCCACAGAAGAACCACTGACCAGTTCCTTGAATGAGACATGTCGGGGTCATTCCAGAGCATTCAGCTAAGGCAGAGGTCAAGAACTCAGGCGGACGCATCAGAGAACAGAGGACACGGGTCCTGGAGTCTTGAACATTCAGGCATCAGGCTTTTGGTAGATTGGGGCTGGATATGAAGCCAGTGGCCTTCCTGACAAGGGTTCCCATATGTATTGTGCCCAGGCCCAGACCTGAGGCCTCTGGGAGGACAAATAAGTTCATGTGAGCAGAGTAAAGAGAGAGGGATGGGGAACCCAGCTCTCCACAGTGGGGGCTGTGCTCCCCTCTCCCACCTCACCATGTTGGGCATTTAGATAAACATTCTCTGAGTAAGGGAAGGGGGTGCAGAAAAGACAGAGAGCAGTGCTTCATGATGATGGCCTAGGACACTCGATGAGAAAAACTAAGACTAATATCTTTTCAATTCACTTGTCACTGTCCTGGGTCAATGTCAAATTTGCAAGACAAATTCTCTGTGCAAAATGAATCCTGGTTGATGCAGTTTTACATCTTTGAGCTCTCGCTGAGATCCACCCCCACACCCCGCTCCCTCCCAAGTGAGAAGCCCCTTACAGGCATCTTCGGGCAGTAGAAGATGGAAGAAGATGGCATATCTCACCCACTGGCGCACCGCAATTTTAACTGCCATAGAAACAGAGCTGGGTTTCCAAAATACATTCCACTGAAACATGTTCTCTTGTAGCCCATGTTAAAGTGGTTTCTGAGTTTGCCATCTCCTAGAAATGGTCTAATGATTTGAACTTTCACGAGTCCCTCATAAGGAGGTAGGTAACTTAAAGTCAACATCATTCTTAATGATATTGACCTTCAGGTCACACAGGGAGAATTTTTTTATATGCTTGAAAGTTCAGGGTGGTGAGAGGTGAGGGAGGCAGCAAGGGTCCTTCAGTACTAAGGGATTTAGATGAAAATCAACTACAGGATGAGACAGAGAGCAGGACAAGCCCAGACCAATGGCTGGAGGAAGGGAGCGTGGCACTGTGATGAAATTCCATCTGTTTTAGATAGTAGCCAAAACTCAAAAGCCCACGTTATGCCAGGGTAAGACTGCATTGACATTTTCTTCCAGCTCCCAGGTACCACACACTGTGCTCCTTTCAAGGAGAGCAGACCCTGCCATAGAAGAAAATGGTTTGGTTTTTGTTGTGTCTGATGAAAAAGAGAAAAGGGTGATCGGCATTGAAGGTCTCCCAGGATGGTGCAGACATTACGCTGCCAGAGGCCCCACTGGCTCCGACGGCCTGGGTGCCATTTTCATCCACTTCCACAAAGGTTTTATGGACAACTTTTGATAGGTACAAACTGGGATTTGGAGAGATTCCAGTAAGATCAGCCTTCTTTTCATCAAAGACATCCGTGATGCCCATGTCTTGGAGGATAGAATTGAGATCGTAGCTATCTTCCAGGGTGAACTGGGGAAAGGAGACAGCTACTTCTTTTTCTGGCATATTTTCTGAACTGCTCCAGGCCACTATTTTTTCATAGGTGATATTCCTTTCAAGCTGCAAGATGAAAAAAATAATATTGAGGGTCAGATTATGAGCCTGCAAAGAATGTCCCAATTCTTTCTCAGGGCCCAGGTCTACTTCAACAGTCGGTAACAATCTTTAGGTTCTTTTCCTACACCTCAAAATATTCCACTTTCATTTAAAACTCCTCCAAGCAAATCTCTTTTCTCTTTTGAAGTTGTAGGACAAATTAAGTTCCAGTGTTCTTTGGGGTCTGACAGCCTAGTGTTCAGAGCCCAGCAAAGCTCAGCTGATTAAGTTGGGTAAGCATGGCCAAGACTTGACATTGGAAGTTCAATCTCTTCTATAAAACAGAGATAATACCATTAAGCTCTTCAAGGATTAAACGAAAGAATGTATTTAAAGTACTTAACGTAGTCCAGGCACATAATAAATTTTGAATAATGGTTGTTATTGTGTTTCTCTTGCTTTCTCCCTCCCTACATCTCTATCTCTTTACGACCACAGGATGTGTAGCTGAGCTTCCTCGGCCTCTATTAATTCCCACCTCACTAGCAATCTATTCCAGTATCAGCATCCCCACTGCTGTCAAAGCACAGGCACCTCAAAGCAGGAGTCAGCTAAAGAGTCTTCAACTGAGCTATAGCAAAATAGCCTGAGTAAGAGGCCAGCAGTCAGGATATTCAGGGCAAAGGAAAAGCTATTTTATCTGTAGCATTTCTCAAGTGACTCCCCATCCAGATTTGGTGGTCTGGAAAAATATGATGACAGAGAGCAATGAGCTTAGAGAGGAAAGCCCTAGCCTACATGTTTGGCATTTGTTCTTTTCTAAAGAAATGAGGAGTAAATAGCCCATTGAATTCAGATTCTTACATACTCTTTGCTTATCTCTGACAGCTCGGGTACCACCCTGCCTTAGAAGGTAGATAGATGGAGATGGTGCTGTTCCTCACGGATCTATAATGAAACATTTTGGAGAGACAGGAAAGTGAAACTTTACCTCCTGCAGGCACTTTAGATTATCAGCAGAGTCAGGCGGCAGCAGGACAAACATGCTGAGCTTGCCCTTGGTGTACGGCAACTCAAGGATCTGTGCCTTCACCTCCTCGATGAAGCCTATTCTGAACATACCCACCTGATACATCATCTTCACAGTCTTCTTTTCATTCTGTACAAAGCAAGCAAAGCAGAAAGTCACAGGACTGCCATGATAAGCTCACAAACTCACATGGTCCCCAACTTCCCTGGGAACATGAGCGGGATCTTCACCAGAAGTTCTGAGCCACACCAGTGACCCAACCTAAGAGTCATCTGCCCACTGGCCCTTACTTTGTCAATACTTACTCTTCCTGTGGTTGCAATGGGTTATTCAACTCCCAAGACCATTTATTGGTAGATTGTCTATCCAACGCACCTACCCACAGCCTAACCAGCAGAAACAAGCCCTGCAGCTCTCTCTATCTTTTATGCCTCAGCCACCCCAGCCTCATGGCCTCACCCGACCCACTGTTTGAGCTGGACTGAATGACCCCACCGCAGGGCCAGTGGAAGCCTTGGTTAAATGACAATCATCTACATAGTAAATAACATCCTCTGTTCTGTAGGCTTCCATCAGAGGCAAGGGCAAGGCCCCAGACACCTCAAACCTCATGATAACCTCACAGTATGTGGGGGACGAGCAATTTACAGGTAAGGATGCAAAGCCCTTGAGGGTGACGCAGCTAACAAGTGCTGGGCTGAGGCCTGACTCTCCCCTTCCCCCCCCCCCATAGCCTGGTGGCCTAGAACATGGGTTTTTCGGGCAAACACAGATGTGAATCCCAGCGCATGGATTTGGCTACATAGCTTAACCTTTGCATTTTTCCCCCTCTGCTCCTAAGTGGAAATGATAATAACACCCATTTTCATAAGGTGACTTTAGGAGAGAAATGAAATAACAAATGGAAAATGCTCGGTGCAGTGCCTGGCACAAAACATGCTCAATACACTTCGGACACTGATTTTCGTTAATAGCAAATGTGTTCTTATAAATGTAAGGTGTAACCAGAGGCCTGAATTTTAAATGAGTATACATGCCGCAAACCATTCTTCGTGGAAACTGTGGTGGAATATTTAGAAAACCACGCGCTCTAATGTAGTACCTCACTTAGAGAGAAAGGTGCGTCCACCGTGTTTTTAACGTCAAAGTAATTTTCCCACTTGGCCTTGAAGTAAACAGCGTTCACCAGCACGAGCACCGTCCCGTTGTTAATGGTGTCCTTGCTGAAGAGTTCTTTGATTTTACCTAAAAAGAAAAGTTCCAGAGAATATATATATATTTTAATTATTATTATTTTTTTAATCTTCACCAGAGGATCTTTTTTCCATTGCTTTTCAGAGAGAGTGGAAGAGAGAGAGAGAGAGAGAGAGAGAGAGAGAGAGAGAGGGAAACATCGATGTGAGAGAGACACATCGATTGGTTGCCTCCCACATGGGCCTTGACCGGAGCTACGGATTGAGCCTGCAACCGAGGCATGTGCCCTTGGCTGGAATCGAACCCGGGACCCTTCAGAATGAGGAGCTGATGCTCTAACCACTGAGCAAACTGGTTAGAGCCCAGAGAATATCTTGAATATGAATTGTATCAAGAGTATTCATGTAGACAGATTTTTTTAAAAAAAATTCAGCTTAACATGCCCAGGATTAGAGAGTGTCTCATTCAAGAACTAACCCAAGAAAACGAAACCACCCTGAGTCCTGGGGGGTCAGGTGGAGTGTGGTGCGGGGAGAGTCCAATTCAGAGCCCTATAACTGCGGCATTTCCTCTGGTTCTCCACATCACGGCGGTGGGAACTCGGCATCAGACATCTACGGCCTGACTTACCCTTCCAAGCAGAGATCCTGCAGCCTGATTACACTATCATGCCCCTGAGAAGAAAGGCTCTTGTGTAAACTTTCTGTCTGAAGCGCTCATCACAGCAGCGTGCACATGCTTACGTATAAACAAAAATGCTTAGAAATGTAAACAGCAATGAGTAAGACCTGTCTTCTAGGGACTTTCACATGCCCTCCCTCATTCCGTCCCACACCAGCCATGAGAAGGAGATATTGTCATCCTTTCTCTCTAGCGGAATAAACCACAGCCCACGAGAGCTGAGGCCACACAGCCACAAGGCAGGAAAGCCGGCTGGGATGAGTCCTGGCACCTCCTCACTCTTGGCTCAGCTCTGGGGCTGCTCCACCACGACCCAGCCCTGCAGCGGGCTGCGAACCCCACGCTCTCGGGCAATAGTTCATTTTCAGTCCGCATCCTTTCCTGCCTCAAAACACCAAAGCAGCAGTGCCGTTCCTGGAATGCCTGCCTAAGCCTTGGCGGAGAAACCCTTCCACCTCAAGAATATCCCCACTTAAATCTCATCATAACGTGTTATATTGTCACCGTCTGCACTAAAATACTCTGGGACAGTTAACTAACTAAGGAGAAATTAGATACTCGTACCTTAGGATAAAGTTTTTCCTCTTGGCAACTGAGTGGAACCTTGAAGATACAGCACTTGGGTTTTTTTGGTGGAATGTGGAAGAAGTGAGGAGAAATAATTTTGGAGTTTGGGTGTTTCCCCCAAGGAAAGGCCAGGCAGGGGTACCCCAGCCCTAAGCCAATGTGAGGAGGACAGGAGAGGGAGGGGTTAGGGCATATTCCCATGTAGGAAAATCTTTGCTTGAAAAAGTACATTAAAATAGTTGACATCTGTTATAAGGAGGCATAAATGGCATGTCTGAAAGGTGACTTCTTTATTTGAGCTCATAGACTCTGCTTTTCATTTCGAAGAATTAGGATTTCGTGTTAAAGTGTTATGGGTCATTCCTGATGACTCTGACTCTCATTAAACAACCCATCATCTACCCAAGTGTTTGGTAAAATCCTTCTGGTCTACATCTTAATATCTCTCGAATCCACCCACCTCTCGCCACCGCCACAGCCAACACCTGGTCCAAGCCGCCAGCACCTCCCTTTTGGTCTATACCTGTGCTCTCGCTCTGCCCCTGGCACCTCACCCCTCCGCTCCTGTCCACCTCCGATCTGTTCTTCAGTCTACGATCAGAGACGTCTTTTTAAAGACACACTCCCTGTCTTAAGCCTTTTCTAACTTCCTTTTGTCCTTGGTTCATAATGTAAATCAAATCTGAAAACTTTTATACTTGGGTGGGTTCTTAAAAAGGCAATGTGACTTTATATGTTAATTATAAGTAAATATAAGTCACTAAAATAGCTATTGCAGATGTGAAACTCCCTACAGCTGAATTAAAGAATAGATTTTAAGTACGCTAAATTGTTTTTTTGTGTGTGCTAGATATTGTAAGTCCAAGAAATGGGGTCCCAAGTATTTCTGATACAACAGAAAAACTCCAATATCAGTGGACATTTTAGAGGGAAGATGAGTTTTGATTCTACGGACAAATGAACATTGAGTGCTGAAAACACTGGTGTGGTTCAAAAAATGAGTGATCAACACGATCAACAGGAAACACTAAACTATAATGAGAGCACTCGCAGCATTAGCAATATTGCAACGAGAAACAGAACCTATGTGGAGAAACTATTTAGAATGCGAAGTTGTGGGTACCATTTACTAAAGAAAATATGAATTGTGGGATTTTAAGGAGGTGAGACATCTTCTCGCGCCTACTCCATGATTTTACAGATGTGGCTCCTGAGAACCAAAAAGGTCATCAACACCAAGGTCATCTGAGCAATTTGGCTGCAGTCAGCCCCAGAATACACAAAGATTGACCCTATTGCGAAGTAGCACAATGTATATGTTTTTTGGAACAGCCACGGAAGTGGGTTACATTGAAGAAAATATTAGAAGGAGGACAATAAAGTAAAGAATAGAAGACCCCTCAATGCTCAGAGGGGCCATGGCTGAGGACCTGGTAGCCAGGCAAGTGTGTTTGATGAACTGGGCTGCCAGCGAGCAAGGCATGAGGCCCACTGCATTTCAATGTGAAGGGCGGGGGGCTGCTTTGGGAGCTCCGGGTTCATGCAGTCCGTTTAGAGACTTCCATTTGCTGGGAGCTGGATAAAATTGGAAGGGGAGTTTCATATTAAGAAATCATTCCATTCATATTGAACTCAAATTTCCAGCACTCATCACTATCCGTAAATCCCCCTTCACTCAAAAGAACACCTATATTTCCAGCAAAAGGTTGATAAGAATGAGGATTTTATTATTTCCATGTCCTTCTGAATAACTAGATTCTCTTTACAATCATTTCACTGACCCTTTAAAATAAATGGAAAGAGTTAAGGCCCTGTTGGCATTGTGCTTGGCCAAAAGGCACATCACCTTATTGGCGGAGCAGAGGAGCGGCAGTAACTGCAGCACCTACACATTTTATCTGTTCCACAGGCGCAAAAGAAGCTTTGGACCCAGTCCACACATGTGAGCGTCTGGTCCCTGACAGGCAACCAATCTGAAAAGCAGGCTGACCTGTTTACTTTCAAATGGGAAGGACGACCAGAGACACCGTGTGCGGCCTTTCTTACCTTGGGATTGAGACTCAACCCAGAAGTTAATCTTCTGTCTAGACCTTTCAGTGTCTTTCCGGAAGTCAACACTTTCGATCGTTGTGTGATAAAATTGAATCACGCCATCTAAGTACTCCTGTTAAATTAAAATAAATAAAAATAGTGGGACAAAATCATATAATTATGCTAAAAGCCAGGAGTGAAGCAGTCATGTGCCTCATCATTCAAACTGGATGCCTGTCAGTCTCTATCTACCCCCAGCCTTTTATTTTAAATTTATCTTTATTGTTTGAAGTATTACAGATGTCCCTCTTTTTCCCTCCCATTGACCCTCCTACCCCGCACCCACCCCCCAGGCCTGCCACACTATTGTCTGTGTCATGGGCTATGCATATATGCATATACGTATCTCTTCCCGCCCCCTTCCCTCTGAGATTTGTTAGTCTGTTCCATGCACCTACCCCAAGTCTTAATTAGCCAGAGACTTTTCAACTGCTGCAGTGACAAGGTATAGAAGTCTTGTTTTATGGAGCAGCCCATAGTTATAATGGCACAAGGCTCTCCTACCAGACAGCCTTGTATTTGGACATTCCATTTAGGGAGACATCGCAAGAGAAATATGAAGTCAAGTAACTTGAGCGACTTAGCTGTAAAATGCTTCTATTTTTAAAAATTAAAACTGCTGAATAGTTACAGAGTTTCTGTTTGAGGCGATGAAATGGTTTTAGAAATAAGGTGATGATTACACAACACTGTGAATGTAATTAATGCCATTGAATCGTATGTTTTAAATGATTAAAGTGGAAACTTTTATGGTAAAAATATTATACAATTGTTTTTAAAAAATTAGTAATGTAATATACCCAAACCATTGATTCATACAATTTTATTAGGTGGATTGTATGATTTGTGAATGTATATCTCAATAAAGCCAGTTTTTTTAAAAAAAACAGCATATGAAAATCTCGTTTCCATTGTGAGAAAGCTACTTATTTTGGTCCAAGTAGATGGCCCCTCCCTTCTAGGCCAGCCCTAACCAGCTGTGAGGCACATTTTCCACTGGTCACACCCTTCATGTTTAATGCCATGTACATGGCTCCTTCTAGCGGTGACAGAGGACACTTGAGCCCAGATTCAGATGAAGCTTGCTCTAGGGACAAAGCAGTGTAGCCCCAGAGACAAGACACGTGCCTTTTGGCTCCAAATACAGTCTCCATCTGCTGCACTACTCTGCTCCTTAAGTGAGCACAGTTTCTCTGGGGCGTGGCTGGATGGTGGCACCAAAGGTGATTTTCGAGAAGTGCCTTGGAAGGCAGGGGTTGGGAGGGGTCAACAGGAAGAGCAGCTACCAAGTGCCTCTACCAGGCACCTTGATTGGGAAGAGGTCACAGGAGAGAACAGCATTACCAAGCCCACACAGGCTCCGAAGGCTGAGTCAGGGGACCCTCTTCCCCCCACTCTGGCCCACTCACAACTGCTCCCGCTGCACAGTGGCAGGAGGGCACAGAAGGTGCGGGAGAGGGGATGGGTCCCGGACGCCCCACCAGTCCACAGTGCGCAGCCTGTCAAAGAGGCCTGCGCGCAGGCTGGCGGGTGAGTTTTCGATAGTTTCCAACAGAGAGCTGTAAACACTATTCTTGCCCAACTCACCGGACAGATTGGAAATTCCTGCTCTCCGTAAAGCCTGTTCGCAATACTCAGGGTGTAATCGGCTTTGATCCTATCTAGTTTGGAGAGAAGCTGCCCAAAGTAGCAGCTGAGAAGTTCATTCTGCTCCTTTGAAGACTCCGCCTGAGAAAGGAAGAAACAAAATGTGATCTTAATCCGTTCCAAGCAAGTTGTCATTCGGCTTTGTCACCAGGCGGGGGAGCGAGATGAGAAGCCGAGAGGGACGAGGAGCGGAGAGGCCCGCAGGGCTGGGCCGCGGAAGGTACAGGCCGGGGCTCTGCGAGGCCCATCATTTCAGGTCGGCGCTCAGAAGCTACAACAAAGAGACAACCCCTCTCCGCTTTCCTCTTAAACTGTTTCCGGTCGAGGGATTTATAACCTGGAGAATATCCTTCCTGCTCCCGGTAAGAGACAACCAGTATAAGTTGTGTGTGCCGGTGCAGCTTTCAGCAGGAAATAAAACAGGCAGAAGTGGAAGCGAGAGAGTGACACCCCCACAGCTGACCCTCCCCTTAATCAGGCTCCATCCTGGGACCCGGGCCTGTAAAAGGAGGTAAGTCAAGGGCTTTGAGCTAAGTTTCTTTATCATGAACAGAAGATGCTAGATCTTTAGGAGAGCAGCTTACAGCCAAGAACATAAACAGAAAGGGACTGTGCACAGGTCACATGGGGTTATTGCTGTTGGAGCTGTGGGTGACAGCCAGGACCTAGTGTGTGGGGACCAGCAACCGTCAGCACCGACGGGACGGCCAGCATGAGCAGTCAGGGCGACGGGCAGACTACAGGTGGCTCACCTGCGGACTCGGAGACTTGGTCCCTCCTTTCTGCCCTTCCAGGGAGCTGTCGGCCAGCACCCGGCGCTCTCTGTACTTCAGACAGGGGTCGGGCGCTGCGCTTTTCTCCTGGGATAACTCGTCGAAGTGGAGTACCTGCGGATGACAGCGTGGGGTCTCAGCCGACGGGAGTAGCTCGGGGTCAGGAGAGCTCCAGAAAGGTTTTTATCATGTGACAATGGCAACGACTACATAGTGCAACGAAACAATCAACAACAGTTTAAAGGGAAGTGGGTATTTCTTCTGACTTGGGCGGTGAGGTGGGAGGGAGGGGAAGTCCACTGAATGCTACCCACACCCCCTTGGGACATGTAACAGTGAATGTGACCCAACGAAGAGAATCAGGTTTCTCCGAGCCACAGTGTGGCTATTGACCAGTCTGAGTTAACTTTGAAAACACACGCCGGATTCTGAAGACTTGATATGAAAAAAAAGAAGGTAAAATGTCTCATTTAAATTGTTAATTGATTGCATGGTGTATGATAATATTTTGGGGGTACTGAGTTAAATAAAATGTGTTACCAAAATTAGGCTCACCTATTTCTTTTTACTTTCTTAGTATGACTACTACAGATTTTTTAAGTTACATACGTGGCTCAAATTCTGCATATGTTAGACGGTGCTGATCTAGAGCTTCAAAGCGATCAAGTGAGCGAAGACAGGAGAAGACACATTGTCCAGGGCGTCGCAGGTAGGAGGCTAGTGGTGCCTCCTGCACTGCTTGGGGTAGGTTTGCTGGCAGGTGACACCCAAGTGCCTGGAGAAAAAAATGCCTGAAACCTGACCTGGAGGACACCAGCCACATTCTAAAGCTAAGTTTTGATAAAGGAATAATGTACCAAATGAAAGTAAATGAATAAAGTAGAATGACCCTGAACGCATTCTGCCTTAACCCAAGAATTCACTCCTCTGAACTGGGGACAGCAGCCGGGCTCGGACAGCCCCTGTGCTGTGTGCTAGAGCCGGGGAAGTAGAAGACCAACCTCAGGAGCCTGTGCTTTATTTGGGGAGTTGTTCTTGTTGCTTTCGTTCATTCAGTCATTCATTCTACACGTTGGCTACTAGAAGCCAAGCACTGTTCTAGAACACAAGGATGCCTGCCCTCTAGGAGATTATATTCTAGTGGGGAAGGCATACAAAAAGCCAGCTTTAAAAAAAATAGCAGCAGCATATAAAATCTTACATATACCCTAAGTAGTTACTGTACACAGTATGTTAGAAGGTGAAAAATGCCATGCAGAGCTGGCAGAGCTAGGATAAGAGGGGATCTTTCAGGACTGGGGCCAGGATGCATTAGATTAAGAGGTTAAGGTAGGTAAACTCTGCTCAAAGTCCTGAAGGAGAGAGTAAGTTATAGATCAGTTACCTGAGGGGAGAGCCATCAGGCAAAGGGGATGCAGCAGGCCCGAAGGCGGCAGGGGCAGGCTTCCCAAGGAAGTCGGGAGGCCATTGTGGCTGGAGTGAGCGAGGACAGGAATGGGGAGAAATGGTGTCACCAGGTTACCTGGAATTCACACCCCCAGACCATCGTGGGCCATTGTAAGGACTCTGGTTTCTATCATTAGTGAAATGGAAAGGTGGGGTTTTAAGCAGATGAGAAGCAGGATCTGACTTAGGTGTTCAAAAGATCTTTCTGGCCATGCCAGTGTGGCTCAGTGGTTGAGTGTTGGCCTATGAACCAGTGGTCACACTTTGATTCCTGGTCAGGGCACATGCCCAGGGTTGTGGCTCCATCCCCAGTAGCAGGGTGCAGGAGGCAGCCGATCAATGACTCTCTCATCATTAATGTTGCTACCTCTCTTTCCCTCTCCCTTCCTCTCTCTGAAATCAATAAAAACACATTAAAAAAAAAAGAAAAAGATCTTTTTGGAAGCTGGCTGAAGAACACTGTCAGTGGAAGCAGGAAGCCCATGAGGAAGTTTTTATCCAGGTTAGAAAGGACCTCATGGAGGTGGTGGGAGTGCCTAGGTTCTTGGATAGATTTAGAAAGAAAGCCAAAAAGCTTTTCTGACAAATTTGAAGCGAAGTGAGAGAGAGTGTCAAGAAGGACTCCGGGGTCTTTAAGCACTAGATACAAAACTGGTGCCTACTAAATATTTACCTAATGGAATGAGTGAGAGAGAAAACACATACACATTAAAAATTACTGACAATACTGATATCAATAATTATAGAGAGAAAGAGCAACAGACATACGGACAGACAGATACAGAGATGAGTGAGAAAAGCTGTCAGACTGGTGAGAGTTCTCCGGGATTAAAGAGAAAGCATGGCGGGGCTATAAATGAAGCCCCCAAGGCAAGTCCAGAGGGAGTGAGCAGCTTGGCTTGCAAAAGCAGGGTCAGGGTCTGCTTAGGGTCTGGCTTTGCGAGTGGGCCCAGAGTCACGCATCCGCACCTGGTCGATCTGATGTGCACTGTCACTTCTGGCCCCCAGGCGGACCATGCCAAGGGCAGCTGAGAGGCTCAGAGGACAGAAGAAGATGTTTTTAGCACCATCATTTTTGCTTATCTCTTGAAAAAGATCAAAGCAAAATTTGGAGTTTGCTGCAATGAGAGAATCCATCGTGACACTGATGACAGTCTAAAACAAACAGACAAACAAACAAAAACAGATAACAAGAGAGAGAGAAAATGACAATCAGAGGAAAAGAGATAAATAGACAGTTCTCATTTTAAATACTCAGGATATAGCCATATACAGTTATTCTGTATTATTCAAAACTGGACGAGGTCATGGTCACCCTGGCCTATAGATATTGATGTCGATATTGATAATAATACAGGTAGAGATCTATTTCTATTCAGTGATGTGAATTAGTTTGCTATGGCTGCCATAACAAATTACCAGGAACCAGGTGGTTTAAACAACGAAAATTTATTCTCTGTCATTTGGAGGCCAGATGTCCAAAATCAAGGTGTTGGCAGAACTGGTTCATTCTGAAGGCTCTCAGGGCACATCTGTTTCATGCCTCTCTCCTAACTTTTGGCAGCTGCCAGCAATCCCTGGCATGCCTTGATTCATAGGGGCATCGTCTCTGCCCCCGTCTTCATATGTGTCCTTCCCTGTGTCTTCTGTGTGTGTCCAAACATCCCTTTTCCTATAAGGACACTAGTCATTGGATTAAGGTTCACCTTAATCCAGTAGCTTGACCCCATCTTCACTTGATCACATCTGCAAAGACCCTATTTCCAAATAAAATCACATGCACTGTTACTGGGGATTAGGACTGAAACATCTTTTTTTTTGGGGGGGGGCGGGGTGCAAAATTCTACCCCCTTCATGGTGGAACTTCCTTTATTCAGGTAAAATAAAGTCAAAGGCTACCATGTCCCCATGGTCAAGTTATAGACCCAGAAAGTCTCAAACCACCCCCTTCCTCTCCTGGTTCTACTTAAGACATTTGTGTATACTGTCCCTGAATGTTCTATGGCAGAATATATGCCCAGCAAGCTGTCATGGGTCGTGTCCTTTGTTGACATTCTCACCTCCAAATTCATTTTGTATGAAACCAATAGGGCTTGAAGCACTTTAGTCAGTCCTTGATATTGTCCAAGAGATCATAGATCTTGAAAGATGCTGAGGGTTTAGAAGCCATTAAGTTTAACACCTTCTCTTGACAATGTGGAACCAAAGAAAGGGAATGTCCTCACTTAGGACAGCCCTTGCCCCAGCCCCCAGCCCTATAATCTATTCCAGAAACAGCAAGACAATCTTATGTAGATTTCACTTTAGACCTATCCCTCTCAAATAAAATGTCTTTTGTCTTTTTGCCTATGGATATTATATATTTCCAAGATGGAAATGTAAACCCCCTTATTTGTGTTTTTTATCATCAGGCATATGTCACACAGCAAGAATTAAGAAATAGTTATTGCTTTGGCCCTGGGCAGGCAGCTCAGTTGGTTTGAGTGTAGTCCTGATAAGACAAGGTTTGTATTTTCAATCCCCAANAAATAGTTATTGCTTTGGCCCTGGGCAGGCAGCTCAGTTGGTTTGAGTGTAGTCCTGATAAGACAAGGTTTGTATTTTCAGTCCCCAATCAGGGCACATGCAAGAAGCAACCAATGAATGCATAAATAAGTGGAACAACAAATATGTGTGTCTCTCTGTCTCTTCCTCTCTCTCTCAAAAAAAAAAAAGTTATTGCTTTAAATTGAATGGTATACATTGGTTTTAACATCTTCCCACTTGAATAGATTTTTTTTTAGCCTATCAAACCTAATTCAAAAACATAACATTAGGTAACTTTTTTAAAAAATGTGCCACACGTGTCTTTACATCTACACTGGAAAACGTCCTCCAAACAAAGAAGTCACAGTTTTGCTAAGTTTAAAGGCTGTTTGCTGATGGAGGCTGTCTCTTAATAAGCTACAACTTGAAAAACTTGTACACAAGGACTCCAGTAATCATTATTTTCAACCAGACTTGAAAGAACCATTTAAAATAGTAAGGTCCCTCAAAAATATATTCAACTCAAGGAATCATTAAAACCCAATTACAAATGACTTTGTAATAATAGTTACCATTTCATGTGAGCCTACAGTGTGCCTGGCATTTCACAAATATTGTCTCTAATTCTCGAACGATCCTATAAGTCAGAAATTATCGCATTTTACATCCAGCCATGAANAAGAACCATTTAAAATAGTAAGGTCCCTCAAAAATATATTCAACTCAAGGAATCATTAAAACCCAATTATAAATGACTTTGTAATAATAGTTACCATTTCATGTGAGCCTACAGTGTGCCTGGCATTTCACAAATATTGTCTCTAATTCTCGAACGATCCTATAAGTCAGAAATTATCTTCATTTTACATCCAGCCATGAAGTGGTGGAACTGGTGTGCCAATCTGCCGGGTCACTCTGCTTTCCAAGCCAGCCCCTCTCCTGCGGCCCGCTGCCCTCCGGAGCAGGCAGGGCGCCCCCACCAGCCCTCGCACTCAGTCCCCAAAGCCACCTCCCCCGTGCTGCATACGGAGACGGTAAGGAACAATTCATTCAGGAAAAAAGAAGAGAAATCTCACTTGGATATCTATCAAAATACTATATTTTTGCCTGTCATACTCCCCAAGTGATTTATTATTTAATCTCTAGTAAAGCAAAAGAAGGATTTTGATTCTCAAAAGCAAATTTATTGAACAGACAGCAGAATGTCAGTAATGAGGTTGCCATCTGACAACAAATTTGAATTCTGCTCTCACCATATCGACAAGTATTTTCCTATGTGCTTTCTCATCTTGCAATCATAGCATATATATTTATATATACATACATTCATTCATCTGTATACGAAAGACAAATGTTCATATTTCTGTTTCCTTTATCATTGCCTATAAGGTGATTGTTTCTGATATTTGTATCTTTCCTTCCAAAACACAATTTTTTTGAGGGGAGGTTCCATGTTTTTATTCATCTTTGTAGCCCATTAGTAAAAAATATAAAAAGTGGCACGTAACAGCACTTAATAAGTATTTATGGATTTATTTGCTATCATCTGCCTTTTTTTTTCCATTGTAAATAATTCTAATATTTGAAATAGTAGATGATAATTCATACTTTGCATGAACTCTATACATTCTGCAGGCAGCCATGATCAATAGAGGTGTTACATAGCAGAATCAACTTTGGATTAATTTTCTACTCTGTTAGAAATAGTTTAGTTACTAAAATATGGCTTCCTTTATTGTGATAATGTAAAAAGTTAGACTAGGTAGATTTTTGAACAATCCAAACTATTCTAAGTGTACTGTTTTTTTCTAGATAGTATGGAAAAAAATTTATATCCGAAAAATATTTCATGTCTCATAATTTCCATCATTTTTACAAAGCTATTAATTGGCTAAGCATAAAATTTCAACTTTACACAGGCAGATGTGATTCTGCTGGACTCAGTTTTCAAACCTGGTTATAACTAAATGATAAGCAATATCTAAAATCAAAGAAATACTTGTGAAGGATTCAATCAAAGCATTTCCATCTTATGCTGCCAAAGAGAAATGTAAGCTCATATTATCTAAAATGCAGAAATTAGTAAAAACATAGTATACAATCTGTCAAGATTTTTAAAAATTATTCAAACATCCACATTTTTAAGAAATCAATCAGCCACATCCAACATGGGACCAGTGCTGGGGGGCTGAGGGAGATGACAGGTTGTCCCTACTATTTCCTAACAGGCACTGCCACATTTACCAACCACTCAAAACACTGTAAAACAAAACTGCTCTTTTTCAAAAGACATTTGACTAACTAAAAACAGCATATCTTTTAGTTTTCCTCAAATCTACTCTGGGTTTCTATTCTTTAAAATAATTTTCCAATGCAGTGTTTATTGTTAAAAATGATATTAGGCAATGCTCGCATTTACCTTCTTGCCTTCAGAGTTGCTGCTAACAGCTGGCCAGGTAGGTTTCGATCCGCACCCTGTCAAGAATGGAAATATATCAACTTTGCCCCTCCCACAGTGGCACCTTTCCAACTGCCATTTTGGAAGCCAGGGTCAAATTATTGTTGATTGATTAAGGAGGAAAAAAGAACAGAAAAAGAATGTGTGGCATCTAAATTTTTAAAGAAATACACTCTATACTGTCAACTAAATTAAATATTTAATGTACCATATTTATATTTTCTTTGCTTTTTCCAATTGAGTCTCTCTGTGGAGTCCACATAATAACATTGAGCCCTACCTTTCAAATCAAATCCCCATCTAGATAGAGAAGCAGGGAACCCTTCTACTCCATATGCCCATTGTCTTGGACATTCGCTTATACTTGAATTTCTATATTATTCTAAACTTTTTTTAACTTATTGCATAGGACTTATAAAATGAGCCCTAAGCTCCTTTCAAAGCTGTGGGGCTTTGTTCCTGCAGCAGCCTTGGTGTGAGGGTAGAGATTACTATTTAATTTATTGACTGGAGTAGCCGAATACCAGCCAGAAGATAGAAATTATCAAGAGACACAGAGAGAGGGAGGGAGGGAATTTCTTGAAGAGAACTAATTTGCTAAAAACTAGAAAACCAATAAACTTGGACCGATAGCTCCAGAAAGTCTGCCCGAGTTTGCTTTCTGTGCTGTGACCTGCTCATCCATTATCCTGTTTATCTCCTCAAAGGGTTTTTAGAGCCCCAGATGCCCCACTTTCTACATTTTCTGTTTGTCCTTCCTCCCTCCCTCTCTTATCCGGTTTCTAATAAGGATTTCATGGGACAAATATATTCCACCACCGAAAAAAATACCTTTTAAAACATCAAAGAACTTCTGCTGTTCCTTTTAGCTCTAATATTCTATAATCCCTATTTGTTTATGACCAAAAATATGGGGGTGGGTGAATGGGGCACAGAGTTGTACCTGGAAGGGCACGAGGAGGAGTGAACACATTGGGAATGGACATGACCTGGGGACAAATGATGACCCCTCTCTGGCCTGCTTCCCTTCCTGGCCCCTTTATCTCCGTTTCTAACCTGTCAGACAACATTAGCTCAGCTCCAACCCTGCAAATATGATTATGTTAGACACAGGGAAATTCAAAAGAAAAAATTTTAAAGTGGGGATGTTGCC